GGGAGTCTGGTGGAACGAGGGCGTATGATTGAGGCAAAGCAAGAGGAGACCGAAGGGTTGGGTTAAGCAATCTCTAGGGTCCAGGGTATGTCAAGAAAGCCCGGTCAGCAGGAAGGGCAGGGCCCAGGACCCAGGGCCAAGGGTTATGGTTTAAGAGGCCCCAGGCTTTAAGGAAGTTGTCATTATTCAAGAGAGGGAGGGGTAAGGTCCAGGGGTGCAAGCGGCAGACATCTGCAACAGAAGGGCGTGGAGTACAGGGGGAAGAACCTGTCACAGCTTCAACAAGGGCTTAGGGTACAAGGATCGAGGGGTAACCCCTATCCCCAGAAGGCTTAGATACCAGAGAATCAGAGATAGATAGCGAAGATAGATCAGGCACACGTCGGCAAAGAAAGGGTACAGGGTTGGGGTATGCTGCAGATATCTGCAACAGAAGGGCGTAGAATACAGCGGGAAGAGCCAACCACATCTCCAATAAAGGGCTTAGGGTATAGGGTATAGGGTATAGGGTATAGGGTATGGGGTTTAGAGCTGCACCCCCTATCTCCAAAATGGCATAGGTACCAGAGATAGCTAGAATAGATCAGGCACCCAGCAGCAAGGCGAAGAGTGACCAAAGGCATTCTCTATCACTAATGACATCCTGTTAGTGTGTTCAATCACGTTTATCATGTCCAAAAGACGGGGGACCCGATTTCCAGCAGGTGAAGCTCCCCACCAATAGATGTACCGACCGGCAGCACACTTACTAGGGGAGGCTGCTCCTACCGGTTTTTCCTCAAACAAAGGAAAAAAAAAGGGGTTGAGGATAGGTAGACCCAGGGGTCTAGGGTAGGCTCCAACCGTTTTTTCCTCCATCACTATAACGGCTAGTCCCCTGGATATGATGACTGGAATGATTCGATGAATGCCACACTCCAGCGGGCACATGCCTACACAGACAAGATTGCAATGGCCAGTGCCTGTTGCTATCTGCGGTTTGGCATATACTTTGAGTAGGGTTCACAGATGCTGTTATGCAGAGAAGATTGCACTCTCATCTTCATTGACAGACAAGTAGACACATCTACGGGA